CTTGGAAATCTCCTGATTTGTTCATGAGAGATGCAGTTTTACACTTTTCTTCATGTGTTCTTCATTGAGCACAAAAGTGTTTAGGAATAATAGCTGTTGCAAAAGGCACAAAGGAAAAGAGTGATCAGAATGATCAGAACTGACTCAGGGAGAACTTGCTATCATCCAGCTGGACTGAGAGGAAAAGAAAATGAAAAAAACAATCACTGAATTCAATAAAGAATGGGCTTTTTAAAAGATTTAGATTTAGATTAGGCTCTTGAAATAACAGTTTATAATGATGTAGGCAAAATAAGACTCAAATAGCTTCATTTTTCAATCACTTTTTCCTGTGGCTTTGTTTGGATTTCTTTGTTTGTAAATAGTATTAAAGAATAGAAGAACTGGTGCTTAGTTGTGAGAGGCAGTAAAAGCTCCTTTTGGTAATGCAATAGAAAAAAACATGTGTAAAGAGCAGCTGATTTACCTGCAAAGCTGAGAGTACAAGGGATTAGAGTAATAGAATCATCACTAAATCTCCTTGTGTGCAGTGAGTTACTGAGTTCCTGTATGACAAACACTCATTTTAGCCACCTGTGCACTAAACCCCAGCCCTGGATGTTGACTTGGTTCATTCCTGCCACTGGAAACGCTTCTGTGCTTCCCCTGGCTGTGGAGGCAGCAGATGGATGCTGGGAGAACTCAGCACCACTGGCCCTTCCCAGCTCTCCCAAGAGCTTTTGTGTCAAGCTGGGCTTCCCTGGGATTCCTGGAGTGAGAGGAACATTGTCCCCCCTTTGCTCTCCCAAGAGTTTTGTGTGAAGCTGGGCTTCCTTGGGATTCCTGGAGTGAGAGGAACATTGTCCCCCCTTTGCTCTCTTGTCACAGACATCTTTCATGAAAAATCTTTTCTTAGGATTTTTCTTTGTGAGAAGCTGCAGTTTCAGTAACCAAAGTAAACAATGGTTATCTGCTGCTGTGGAATGCAACAGGTAGACCCATGATTGGTCTCCTGTGGATGTTTGGATTTCCTGACCACTCATGGCAGAGCTGGCTCTTGCTCTGTCTGAAACACAGATCTTTGTTATTCATTCTTTTCTATTCTTAACTTAGCTAACTACTGAAGAAACCTTTTCCTTTCTATTGCTTTTTAGTATAGTCTAATGTAACATATATCATAAAATAATAAATCAAGCCTTCTGATCATAAAGTCAACATTCTCGTCTCTTCTTCATCCTGAAAACCCTTGTGACCACAGTCACACTCTCTCAAGAGTTCTTTGTCAAGCTGGGTTTCCTTGGGATTCCTGGAGTGAGAGGAACATTGTCCCCCCTTTGCTCTCCCAAGAGTTTTGTGTCAAGCTGGGTTTCCCTGGGATTCCTGGAGTGAGAGGAACATTGTCCCCCCTTTGCTCTCCCAAGAGTTTTGTGTCAAGCTGGGTTTCCTTGGGATTCCTGGAGTGAGAGGAACGTTGTCCCCTCATGTCTCACTCTGTTGTGTCCCAGGGCAAACCCCCAATAAGCAACATCTCTCCTCTTCTTTTTTTCCTAATTCCACCCTAAATTCTTGGAGAATAAATGCCAGCCCTGAAAATTGGAAACTTTAGGTCTATGAGCCAAGGTACTTATGCCTTGTGTATGGTGAGGTGGTGCATTGTAGGCTCAGGTTCTCTGTCATGGTATAGAAACTTTAAACCATTGCCAGGAAAGCTTTCTGGAAGTTTCATCTCCTTCCTGTGACAGCAGAGAGCTGGGCCCACAATCAAGCCTTGCACCATTGTTAATTTTACACCAACAACGTGATTGTAGTTAATGGTATATGGGTTTTTTCTGCAGAAAATGTGATTTCAATTTCTACTTCCACAAACAATACCATGAGACATTCCAGCTAATTGTGTAAATTCTTTTCAGCTAATTGCAGATCTGTATTTCTGAGCTGCCTGTAGTGCTGGCTGCACAGTGGTTCCAGATAAAAGCTATTTTTAACAGCAGGGGTTTAAAAATCCTTTATAATTTAGTGGGTGAGTCCACATGTTGATCCTTGGTGTTACTTCTTGGCTCTTTGAGGACTGTGAATTTTTTAGCTGTTTTATAGGAGGCAGTGAGCACTCTGTGCAGCACCATTGGTATTTCTGTGGATTAGTTTATCTGCATCATGTAAATAACTGTACACAAAAAACTTATTTTTGAAAGTAAAAAAAAAAAAAAAGGGGAAATGCATTTAGTCAGAGATCTTGAAACCACTGGGAACTGAATTTTAAGTATTCTAAAAATATTAATGACTGCACATCACTTTTTTCCACAGTCCTGAATATTTTTAGAGTAATTATATCTCAAAATAACTGCGGTGCTTCAGCAAAGGACCTCATCAAACAGCACGTTCTTAATCAGGGGCTGGAGGAGAAAACTGGGGGAAGAGAAGGATGAGTGGGAATAGTCTTTGATCCTGGGACACCTGGTTTTGTCCCTGCTGCCAGGCAGCATTCCAGGGGCTCTGTAATGCCCCTGACCCCAGGCTGGTCCCCTCAGTGTCCCCTCTGCCACTGCTCCCTCAAAATTTATATTAAAATCCTCATTCTTAAAAAAAAACCAAAAAACAAATGCTTTATTCTATCACACTAGAATTTAGTGTTCTGGAGGAAAAATAATGCTTTTTCTTTTTCCATTGGGGAATTTATAGATTGTTTCTGTGTTCTCAGGTTTATCCAAGATCTTACTGTCAATAATTCAGTCTTCCCTCACTTGTATGAATTGCAATTGAAATATTTTTAATACCAAAATTAGATGCAGAAGAAATAATCTTTTCTTACTAAAGTAGATTAAAAAGTTCCATGGTTTTTTTCTAACGGAATCTAATAATAATGTTTTAGTTATCAGTATTAATATTATGTACAAATTCAAAGGCAGATTGTCAAAATATAATTAGAAGGCTCTGTGCAAGAAATTAAATACACTCTAGTAGCAGAGATGAAAAAAGCATCTGTTTTGAAGTACTTTAATTAGAAATTAGATGACTAGAGTAGGGAAAATAGGATTTGCATGAGATGAAATCAGAAGAAAATATAAGATCATTAGCTACAAAGAGTAGGAAAATACCTATGGAGCATGGAGGAAGCCAAGGTTTATCTAGGATTTATGGTGAATAATGTAAATAAACTGTAACCTTTGACTTCTAGATATCTTTTGCTCTGTTTCTAGACATACTTGAAGTCATATTCTTAAAACCTAATGGAAATGAATGATTTTCCTCATGTGTTTCCCTCAGCCAGATGAATGCCTCTGGCTCTTCAGCTCACTTTCATTTGCAGGCTTCTGCACTAGCTCAGGTTTGGGAGCATCTGTGGTGTTAAATTCTCCCATATTCCAACGTCCCCATTCCTGGGGTCAGACAAGTGTGTGGACAGGGCTTATTTATTTATTTTATATTTTGTAATTAGGATCTCAATAGCTGCATGTTCATTTGCCAGCATCCACACAAGGGCTGAAGGCTGAGAGAGACATCAATACAGTCAAGCATATGTTGTCTTCAAGTAAGGGAGAAAATGAGCTTGTTCTGTATTTTATCTGTTATATTAGCTGTGGAAAAGAGCAAGCATCTCTAAATCCTGTTAGTTAAGGGTGTGCTATTGTCTGGGAAGGTTAGAAGCATAGTAATTAATGAGATTTCCAGTAGTCACAGTCTTAGTTAAACTGCATAAATTACAAGAATTATTTTATTACTCTTCAGCATTTCCAGTATTTCTCCTTCAACTGACAGCTGCAAGCAACAAACAAAGAACTGGTTAATGACAGAAATTTTTTTTAATATATTTTGAGAGAACTCTGGCCCAGTGAATGGAAGTTGAGGATTGCTCCTGTAATGCTGTGGAAAATGTGCCTACCATTTGTACTTAATCCTGTCCTTCCAAACACATTGGACTCAACTCAGTGCAATTCCATTGCATGTCAGTGCACAATGTCTAAAGTTTCACAAATCTGCAGAAAGATTTGATGGGTTTGAATTGTGTGATTCACAAATCCTGACAGCTTGAGGCATGTCAGTGTATGTGTGTATAAAATCCTGTGTGTGTGTATACAGATATATGCACATATATCTGCAAAACCAGATGTCTCATACCCCACTCTTCCTGGTGGACTGTACTCCAGAAGTGGAGAAGTTTCTTTCCTAGTTTGAAAGTGCAATGTTCAATCTGTATTCAGCTAAGTGTGTTAAAATACAATTTGAAGAAAACCTGTCATGTTTTATTTAAGTTCATTTAAAAGAAAAAAAGGGAATAACGTTAAACTTGTGTAACTTGTTCAAAATGAGCATTGCAAAAGTGTTGGTTTAAATGGATTTGGTTATTGTTTTTTCTTTTTATTCCTTGGGGAAAAAAAAAAAAATGTTTTATCTGGTTTTGTTCTTAATCCTGAACCCAGATTATTTACTGGAGAGTAATATATTTTCACAATAAATTTGTGCATTCCTCTGAGCAAACCCTGCTGAACTCAGATGTGTCAGCGATCACCCCATGACAATGGGAGCGATGGAGCCCAGGTCCTGCCTGGCCTGGTGTCCGTGCTGGGAATGCTGCAGGTGGTTTTCCTGCTGTGCTGGCTCCAGGAGGCTCATTCCAGCCAGGGGCTGAGGAGGCAGGGTGGGCAGGGTGGGTTGGGGCAGCAGTTGTGGGAGAAGCAGGGTGACAGGGACAGGGAGCAGCCAGCGACGCTCGTGGTCCCCACAGGATAACGGCGGCCTGGGCGTTGGGGGCATGTCTGCGTTCTGCTTTTCCAACAATGTCAAACTGGGGTTGTTTGGGCTCTTGCTGCTTTGAAATCAAAGCAGAAAAAAAGAAAAAAAAGCTTTTTTTTTATTATTTTTTTAATTTTTTTTTTTTTTAAGAAAAAAAGCGCAAAAAGCGCTCCCAGTTCAGTTTGAGTGCGCCATTCCGGTTGTGACTTGATTTGTGTTCTGGGATGAAAAACTGAGGTTCAGTTGAAGTGTTCCAAAACCAGATACCACTCTCTCTCTCTTTCTTGTAGGCAGGGTGCTGCTGTGCCAGGCAAACCAGGAGGGATCTCCCGTGTACAGTGCCCCCAGTTCACTAGTATACACATCCACAAGTAAGCCAGTGTTACGGCTCGTTTCTTGTTCTGTTTTTGTGACAAAAGCACATCAATGTGAATTAAGCCCCCTAAAAATGTCAACTTTCCCAACAGCTCTTGCTAAGGTAAATGTGGTGTTTATAAACATATGTAAGTCATGTCAGCAGATAATTCAGTGTTTTTAGTTGCATCTTTATTCTCAAAGTCTATTGTATTTAAAAAAAAAAAGGAAAAAAAATGCCTATATTGCAATATTGTATAGAAATGGTCAAAAGTTCTACAATAACAGTGACAGTTTTTGCAATCCAGTACTGTTATGTGCTCTGCATTTTGTGTAGAAGATGTTGTGTTTCTTCTGTCCTGCTCACAACTATGATTTAATACACAAAACATCTGTTACCATGCCACCATTTGTTTGGGTCAAGAATTAGATATGAAGTCTTTTTTTCCAAAAGGAACAGTCTGTATGAAAGGGGGTATTTTGAGGCATAAAAAGCTGCCCTAGTATAAAAAACAGATACAAGCTGACATGATGGATGCAGCCCTCAGCCATTTTTCTGTACAAAACTTTGGAGTAGAGATGTGTCCTCTGAAATTGTGAGCAGAAACCTTTTTTGCGAGTGTTTCAGACTGGATTGGTGGTACCACTGATTCTCATTCTGGCCTCTAGTGGGGTGAGAAACCTGGAGCTGAATGCAGGAGCTTGCAGCTTGCAGCAGCCCTGGCTCTGTGTTCATTGTAAAGAAAACACATGGTCTGATATAACAGCATTATCAGATATGCTCTTTATGAAGATTGCATTCAATCCAGAATGCAATTCTACTCCCTTAGAGCTTATCTAGACTGCTAAAATAATTATTTTTTCAAATTAAATCCAGGAATTAGGACAAAAGAGTTCCATAGTGATCATCTCTACAGTCATATAATTCTTTTATGTCAAACATTATCAGTGGCATCCCTGGAGCTGCTGCTTTTCCAGGATTCATATGGGATCCCCTTTAAATGAGGAGTCTGGAGCCTACAAATGCACAGTGAACTAACCAAATGCATCAAGTGTTTTCAATTGCAAATTAAAATGTCAGTTAAGTCTGCATTTTCTTCCAGGTGCTCCAAGAATATTTTCTAATATGTCACCTTTCTCTAGCAGTGGGGATTTTTTACTGCTTATAGTAACACAGAGATATGAAATAGTTACTTTAAATTAATGCTCCCTTTGGAAATTTTTAGTGCACTCCTCCTTTTTGACTGACAATTGTTTTCCTGGAAAATGATCCCAACTTTTCACTCATTTCACTATTAGGAGCTTCTTTTGGAGAAGAGGGGGCAGCGTTTGTTATGATTTTCTGAAAATTGGGCTTCTTTGAAAGCTTTTCCTAAGTTTACCCTGTTGCTCCTATTGTCTCACTGAGTTGTACCCCAGGAATTTTATTGCTGGGATTGTTGTTTCCATCAGATGATATTTCCACTAATATTGATTCCCCAAAGAGACCCTGTGAGCAAGCTGAGCTCTGGAGTTCACTGTTTCCTTTGTGTCTCCTGAGTCAGTCCTGTTGGAAAATCTTATTTTGCCGTGGTGCTCCTTGAATAATGATATCCTAACAAGCACCTGTTTGTTTTCAATTATGCCAAATACATAAATAAACAAGCTTTGCCTATCTGTCTCCCACTGGGCAATGTGTAATACACAGATTCATAGCAGGCATTGCTGGTAGCCCTTGCAGTAGAAATGATTACACTTCTGTTGAATCTGTGTGTTGGCAACTCGTGATTTTTCCTTTATTATGTATAGAATTTCCTCTTGCCAAAATGCGGTTTCCCCTACAGGGTCACAACTCCTAATAACACAAAATTACTACAATTACTACATATTGTAATTAGGTTTTTATTCCTCCTTATTACAAAACTTTCAATAAAGATGTAAAATAGCTTCATTTCTATAGGAAATTCCACTAGAAATAGTGAATAGAAATGAAGGTTGACTTTCGTCTCATTTCTTTTATTAGTTTAAGGATCTTCTATATTCCATTTTAGTGCACATTTGTAATATTGAAATTATAACTGATAAGTCAACATTAGTGTCTAGGAGATGAATACTTGTGCCATTATCATTCCATGTAGACAACAATATTTCAGCCTTCCTTTTTGAATAATTTGTTAATCGTTTATTCTGTTACTGCTGATATTGTAACTGTGATATTTTACAACCACTTACAATGTAAGAATTAAGAGGTTTTCAATTTGTAATTATTTTAACAGAAGGGAAAGAGTCTGCTGGGATTTTTCAAAAGCCATCTAAGATGCTTCAATTTCACAGAGTGCTAATGGCACTTAGGAGTTTTCAGATATTTGGAAGAGGATAGTCCCCATTTTTCTAAATGTTGTCTAACTTGACTGTTCATCTTTTGCTCCTGAGTTATAAGGCATGAAGGGCTGGAACATGGTTGTAGGATGTATTTTTCTTAATTTGGCTAGCTTGGTTTCACCCTGAGCTTCTTGGTTTGTAATTGTACTGGCCACTGGCAGCCCCTGATGGCTGTGATCATTTTTACCCACTGGCTCTCCAGAAAGCAGGCTGCAATTTTTGGAGCTGCTCTTTCCCTTCTGATATTTTATTTCTCCAGGATATATTTTATGTGTATTGCACCATACATTTCCCAGCACAATGATTAGTTACACCTCTGCATATGCCAGGAGATGGAAACATGGCTCTGCTTCCTTCCATCACTTCTGGCCCTTCACGTAATACAGAAAGAAATGAGCTGTTTCTTCTGCAAGCAGTGGAACAAATCAGCAGCAATAGTCTCTCATGCCTCATCTGTTCTCTTATGCTGAAGGAGAAGATGGGACCTGGATCAGTTTTTCATTTGCACACCTATTGTTGGAATGGATAATTTTTTATGTAGAAAGCAGAGTTTCAGCATGCAAATGTGCTCCTATCCTGGATTGGGCAGGTCCTGTGACAACCACAGGCAGAAAACCTTGTTTGCTGTAGATTGCCACAGGACTGGCATCTCCAGGGCAGAACTGATACAACAGATTTCAGTTTTGGCATCTCCAGGGCAGAACTGATAGAACAGATTTCAATTAAATCCTTCACCATTGCCATAATGCAAGATGCAGACAAGTATTGAAAGGAGTTCTATCCAGCCAGGAATGATTGGAGTTCACCAAATCCCAGTGAGTCAGCACTCACTGGAATCTTCCTAGAGGCCCAGGATATCTCCCTGAAAGTAAATGAAACAGTTTGGCTGCTCATAACTGACAGTCTCTTTTTGCCCTCACTCCTTTAGAATAGTTACTTCCACAAGGAATTTTAAAATCCTGAGGAGATTTGTATCTACTGGTAAATAAGAAATGTGTCAAGGATAGTTTTGGATTTTTTCCAAATTGAAGCCACACGTGAGTAGGATCCATGAGAAAATTAAGACCCTGCTGGACAAAAAGGAAGATTCAAAAGAAGAAAAAAAAAAATTCTGTCCCTGAATGTCTGTATCACTGTTCTGCCAAGGACAGTAACACAGCTGGGTATGTATGGATCAGAAAGGCAAAAATACAAATCTGAATTTATGCAAGAACTTTTAAAAACTGTTTTATGCATATTTTCCCCCATTTTTCTATAATGTAGAAGTGCCTGGAAATGTGAATGAAGCGGGAGCTCATGAGAGCCAAAGCATGGGCGAGATGGAAGATATGAAGTTGTAGAATTGTGAAATTATTCAGGTTGGAAGAACCTGCTTGCACCAGAACACCTCTAAGGATGGAGATTGCACAATTTCAGGAGGTCATCTGTTCCAAGACTGAGTGTCCTGGCAGTGGAAACCTCTCTGGTTGAAAATCATGTTTGCTTTCCCTTTTCTTCCCAGTGTGTGCCTGGCTCTGTCCCCCAATAATTTCCCTGTCCTTGGTGGCAGGACATGGAAGAGGAGACACATTTCCAGTAGAAATCCTCCTGCTCTGCACTGGCTCCCAGCACTCCTGGGCTCACCCAGCCCTCGCTGGTGTGGTGAGGGAGCAGCATCCAGCTGTGCCCCCCCCTCCAGCTGTGCCCCCCCCTCCAGCTGTGCCCCCCCCTCCAGCTGTGCCCCCCCCTCCAGCTGTGCCCCCCCTCCAGCTGTGCCCCCCTCCAGCTGTGCCTCCCATCCCTCAGCAATGTCCAGTTGTGCCTACCCAGGCCCTGTGGAGGGCAATGGGAAGAGATGGGATTTAAAATTTAAGGGGAAGTTCAAAGGCAGCTAAATATTTTTTACTCTCTAAATCAGCACTTTGATCTCTGAAACTTTTAGATTTTATTTTAGCTCCAAGTAAGCATTAAGATGCTCAAGTGTATCTACTAGTGAATTTTTCTGACCATACATTGAAGGGATAGTTCACTATTAGCTACATGGGTAGCTCACATGTATGGTAAAATATTTTAAGTTTCTCCATGCTTTTGTTCAGAATGATGTGCAGATGAACATCTCTATTTCCCAAATGTATAGCATGCCCATAAAAGTGAATTTTGCCTTGACTTCAATGAGTACATTTTAAACTGAAGTCAATTTTGGCTTAGATTTCCTAAATGTTAGAGCTGTTTCATCTTCAGTAAGCCTGCTTATCAGCTCCTAAATAAATCTTTCATACTGCAGTCAAGTGATAGAATTAAAAGAAGAAAAATATGAAAATGCAAAATCCGATATTAATTCGTTTTATTTTATCATACTCAAGGGCAAATGAAGTTGATGGCCCATTTTTTAATTGATATATTGATTACAGTTTTGGAAGCAGTGGTGGTGGAATTCAGCAAAAATGATTGAGGTGGTACAAATGCTTATAAATCTGTCCCACATTGTTCGTGTTCTTTAATTGTAATTGTCTGATAAAACTTCCATCAGTTTCTGTAATTAACCTAATGGTCTAAATGAATTTCCAGATCACTGATTATTCATTTCAATATAGAAAATGCCATTACACTGAGTTTAATTAATACTAAGTAAGTTCACAGTCCATTGTACTATTAGAATGGAATTTTATTGTTTTAA